TCCTTCTGACAGGGCCTACAGGCCCCAGCCTGTTTCCCTACAGGGAAACTTCCAGGCTCTTGCCTGGAAGCGTCCTTCTGACAGGGCCTACAGGCCCCAGCCTGTTTCCCTACAGGGAAACTTCCAGGCTCTTGCCTGGAACCTTCCTTTTGACAGGGCCTACAGGCCCCAGCCTGTTTCCCTACAGGGAAACTTCCAGGCTCTTGCCTGGAAGCTTCCTTCTTACAAGGCCTATAGGCCCCAGCCTATTTCCCTACAGGGAAACTTCAGGGAACTTCCAGGCTCTTGCCTGGAAGCTTCCGCAGGGTCTAGGCCAGGGAGGCATTGGCACGGCCAGCCTCCTGCATGGGCCAACACTATAAAGGACTGGCACGCCTTGCAGGAGGTAGTGGTCAGTAGGCACTTGTAGTCTTCAGGATTTCGGCCGCAACACTCAGGAGGAGCGCTGCAGTAGTCTTCAGCGCTAGGCAGTAGTGGTAGCGTTAGGAGTAGTCTTCGGCGCTGGGCGCCATAGCCATAGTGGTCGTCTTCAGCGCTGGGCGCTATAGGGCAGGGTAGCAGTATCGGAGAGAGACACTGGCGGAGGCCAGTGGTACTTACCTGTGGCACCATCGCTCCAGCACCATCCTCGGTGTACGTGCATCAAGACGCCAGTTTTACAGGTTAGTATTGGACTGAGASAGAGAGAGAGAGACCTTCTTCTTCCTCTTCTAAGTCCACCATCTCTTTTTCCCCTCCCGCTGCCTGCCTCTCAGCATCTATGGGCTACGAGATGGAGCTTTGACACGGGACATGACGACATTGTCATCAGACTTGATTCCGGGATACAGACATTCGTTGAGGATTATTTGGGACCTGTGACGCAGACTTGGAGTTGACGATATCTCCCATCTTCTCCTCTCCCTCTGTCTCTTCCCTTCCCCCTTCGTCTGTGTATGTTGGGGTCTGGCGCTATCTATTCTGTGTGAGCGCCAGCCCTTCACACCACTGTAYGATGATGATAAATGTCGGGACTGTACTGCAACATTGATTGAGTCGGATCATTGATAAGTCTTCCGCTCGCCATCTTGTACTTTGAAATGAAAGGTCGGTCCTTGTTCTGTTTTGCATGATCTAGTATGCAACACAGACCCTGCATTGCATGTGTCCCAGTAGAGTCCCAATGAAGTTCAACTGCTGTTGAGGCCTCTCGGCCAGTATTTGGACTTGAAAGTCTGGATCTGGACTGACCCCTTGACTTAGACCAAAACTGGGACTGTGCCTATTGACTTTACTTTCGGACAGGCACAACTCTCAACGAACAGACACATTTACTGCTTGAACAGACACTTTCCTTTGCACGAACAGGTACACTGCCTGCACGTACAGACACACTCTTATCCGAACAGACATGACATACACAGCTCCTGGTGAACAAGTAAGTCCTTTGACAATGCCCTTTGCCTTAGATTTAGATGTGCCTGTTGGTAGAGAACTTAACCTTTGACCTGCTTTCACGTTTCTGAGCCCTGGCGAGATACCTTTTCACAATGCTTTACTTTTTCAAGGCCCGTGCTGCTTTATTTTTACAAGGCCTGAGGCCTATATCGGGTAAAGGCCCTTTTAGTATTCTATTCTCTTAAAATAGCATACAGTCTTATGTACAAAGTATGCAAAGATTCCCATTCCTTTATATGACTCTGTTCTCTATACATTAGACTGTTGGGGCCCAACCGTTGGGGCCATGGTATGTTTGTGAGAAACGCAATATGAGACTATCGTCTTTGACATTCCAGGGAAGACTCATCTTTTGTCAAAAAAAGTCATCCAAACATACTGGAATCGCAAGTGTATCGACCTGCGGGCCTCCTTTGGTCAGAAACCCATGGGAAGGGGACCTGCGGGCCTACGTTGGTCAGAAACCCACAGGAAGGGGATGAGCTGGTGTAGCATGGGTGATATACTACCCCGGGCTATGCCCCATATAAGGTTCCTAGTACGCCCACGCTACCCCATACCACTGGTGTCCATTGCTAGTATAGGGTAGATTCAAAGCATCTCGATCTCCTTGAAGAAAGAGGAGACAACAACAGTACCAACTAAACCTTAGCTCTTTGGTGGATTCTTGAAGGCGCCTTGTGGAGACGACGTTTGACAAAAAAAAACATAAGTTTAGAACTTCCACCATGAAAGACAAACATGCATGTGAGTGTGTGCGTGCGCGCGCGCGTGTGTGTGTGGGGGGGGGGNGGGGGGGGGTTGCGGATGTGGAGTGGACAGAAAATGGACCGTAGCCTGGGGGAATTGATGAGTGGCAAGCAGCAGATTACATTGTTTGCGGATGTTGCTGTTTCTATCACTGCTGTTGGCAATGGCGGTGGTGACGGCGATGGTGTTGGTGATGGTGATGGTGGTGGTGGCGGTGCTGCAGATGCTACTGGTTGAGTAGGTGGTGTGGCTGCTGCTGTTGCAGTTATGGTTGTTGATCTTGTTTCCTTGTCGTTGCTGGAATTGTTATTGCTTCCATGGCGGTCCTGGTGGTGATGAGGATTGCTTTGTTTGTTGGGTTGTTGTGCTTGTGGTTGTGGATGCTGTTGGTAGTTGAAATGTGTGCTCCTTCCCTACCCTCTTTATTTATAAATATTTCTTGTAGTTATTTTCATCTAAGATTTATTTGTATATATTTTTCAAAATCTGTTGTTGTTGTTGTTGTTGTTGTTGTTGTTTTTTTTTTTTTTTTTTGTAATGTGCTCATTTATCATTTATCTATCGGCATTTATTTATTTTTGATCTCAACGGAGTTTGCTGATCGTTTTAGGTGAGAGGGGTGCCACTTGTGAGCAGCCCCAGGTTCAATCGATCGATCATTGATTCAAGACGGGTGGCTGTCCGACTGGTGATCGATCGTCTAGGATGGAAGGATGAACCTGCATCCGGATACTGTCTACCTGGTGTGGAGGCGGCCTGAAAATGATGTGCTGCTCTTTGCTATCATATTATACTATACTACATGGCTGGCTGGCTGGCTGGCACAAACCATAAAACAGGAAGGACAAAAGGGCCCTTAAACAGGAGATGAAAGAGATGGAGCTTGCTCATGAGGACATATTGAGGCAGCTGAGGATGGTGGGTGTGCTGTGTACCATCATCATCATCACACATAGAAAAAACTTCAAAAAGGAAAAAAAAAAAAAAAAAAACCCAATGAATTTGTTGTTGCCTCACACTACCTTGTTCACCCAAATACAACGTATGGTCATTATAGCTGGTATTTGGGGCATCTTCCAGTCTAAATACAGCAATACTTACCGTACGTTGTGTTCGGGGCAAGAAGGTAGCTAGTAGCTACCTACCGAACCAGTCCTACACCTGTTCCCCATATGGGGAGAAGACAAAAAAAGACAAAGAAAAAAAGAAAAAAGAAAAAAGAAAAAAGAAAAAGGAAAAAGGAAAAAAAAAGGAAAAAAAAAAAAGGAAAAAGAAAAAAGAAAAAAAAGAACAATGAATTTGAATGAAACTTGAAAGTTGAAAGTGGTGAAGCAATGTGATGATCATCATTGACACTCACTCACTCACTCACCTAAAAAAGGATTGGATCCGAAAAAGGTGGGGGAGCCATTGGCGCTATAGGGTGAATTGGGATTGAACTGGATCATTGAATTGGATCATGCAGGTTGAGTTGGGACTGAAATGAAACTGGGGGATTGAGCTGGCGGATACGGATGCACTTGGAAAGTGCACCTGGAGTTGTAATTGCTGCAGGACTTTTTGAATTGCAAGTGGCTCAAAACAAAAACAGAACTCAAATCGAAACAGAGGAATTAGAACTCATATCGGAACTGAAATTGGGACGGAAATCGGAGTGAAATTTGGGACTAAAATTGGAACTGAAATTGGGAACTGCATCGTCTTTCAGGACATGCATTAAAATTGGAACAATGCAGAGACGAAAGATTAGCATGACCCCTGCGGATTTCAAAATGGCATTCGCGGATAAATCAAGAAACCTTTGACATGGTCCACTTTTGTCCTGGCGCTCTCTGTTGCACATGGTCTCACATGTCTTTGAAAAAATAATAAGAAATAATAATAAGAAAAAATAAGAAGAAGAAAGAAAGAAAGAAACTTAGAAAAGCAAAACTGCAATCTGGACTGAAATTTGGGATGGAATTGGAACTGCAGTCATGACTGGAATTGGAACTGGAAATCGGAACTGGAAATGGGACATGGGAATGGGAACCGGAACAGGAATTTGAATAGGGATTGGAACTGAAAATAGAAGTTGCCGTCCACGCCTCAAGTGCTAAATAAAAGGACCAAAACTGTAGACTGACACATAATCCGATCGGGGCTGTTAGGCCCATGGTCCCATGACATAGGCCACTTCTAAGAGCTGCTCTTGATCTTAGCAGTGGAAACTGCCTGCCTATCAGATGTACCCACTTTTGCCACACACACACACACACACACACACACACACACACACAATCAATTTTATGTTTGTCTGTTTTCCAGTTGTTGTCTGTCCTCCCCCTGATCATTTTCTAAGTATTTTTGCTTACCCAAACTGAGCACCCTTAAGTAGTGCCAAACAGTCGGTGGTTCCTCGTTTGGAGTGCCTACTGCACTCCATGGGGGCCGCTCAGTTCGGGATGTCTGTGTTGCCTGTAGGTGATGATGGATGCTCGTCGGAGTGACTCCCTGGCTCAGTGGGTGGTGGGAACCAACCGTCGCGGGGTTCAATCGTGATGTGAGTAGGTCATGCGCTGCTTTGCTCCGTGTTGGATGTGTGGACTGCCTCGTCTGCACTCCACCGCTGCCTTTGCTGCCTGTCCTGCTGGCTTCGCATGTGGCTCTCTGCATATTGCTGTGTTCACTGTGTGGTGTGGCCGTGTTGTTGGTGTTGCCTTGTGCTTCGCTACTCCGCTGCCTTGCTGGTAAGTTGCTGCTCATCCGCTGGCCGTGCCTGCCGTGTTTCCGCGCTGCGTGCCATGTCTTTCCTTGCAGTCGTTTTTGGCGTTGTGCAGCCGTGTTGCCTCTACTGCGCTGCCTGGTGCTCCACAGGGTCGCCGCCCGCTGCTATGTTCCGCTTGGGGACAGTCTGCCTTGAACAAGGGTCAAAGGGTTCATGACCCAAACCATCTAATACGGAGCTTCCCGCAGATTGTCGAGGGTTCAGCCTCCTGATGAGTCGGTGCAACTCCGACGAAACAATCTATCATCAGCTGATTCAGCTTTTTTTTTTCTTTTTTCGGCTGTTGTTTTTTGTCTTGTTGTTGTTTGACTTGCTATCGTTCCCCTGCTACCTTATGCTGTTTGCCTGCCCATCTGCCTACCCTATGCCTTTCACTAGGTGTGCGTTGTTGCCTTGAGCTGTTTGCCAACCCATGCCATCCAGCTGAGTATGTGCCTTGCTGCCTTACACTGTTTTGTTTACCAGTCCACCTTCCCCATGCCCTCCAGCCTATGTCTTGTAATGCACTGTCTTTCGTTATTCAATGTCTTGTGCTGTTTGTTTGCCCACACACCTCCTCCGTGCCCTCCAGTCCGTGTCCTTTATTGTTTGTACTGTTCAGCTGTCAACGCTCGATCCACTATGGGGTTATGTGAGAATTATCTTCAAGTTGTCTCGTGCATGGGTCTCTCCTTGGTGGAGTACACTTCTTGTGTACTGAAGCTACATCATACACACACACACACACACAAACACACACACACACACACACACACACACACACACACACACACACACACACACGCAAGTCTATTGTACTTCATGTTGCTTGCTATAGAGGTGAATTTCAAATTGTTTCATTATTGGGTTGTGCAAGGCAGATGAGCAATAGCGAACTTCAGCAATCAAACAGCATCATAGTCGTGACCTCGAACCAAAAGCAGAATTGCATCACGAG